AAAAAGGACAAAAAAAAAAAAAAAGCTGGAAGAAGTGGGGTGACGTGGAGGGTGACGTGGAGTCCACATAAATATATTTTACGTGTTGGTATACCACGTCAGCTGTTCTAGTTAAGTTAACATGCCACGTAAGCCAAAATTTAACGAAGGGACCAAAAAGGGGCCGGATTTGTGAACAGTAAGGATCAAAAAGGGGATTTTTTCGATACAGGGACTAAAAAGGGGCTTTTTCCTATAGTAGAGGGACCAAAAATGGTATTTAACCAAAAAACAATTAAAAAGAGAAGGAAAGAAACTACTGCAAATTCACGATGACGATCATGTTTTATAATGAGTTGGACTCGGCAAGGTTTCTGAGTCCTAAGTGATGAGGAATTGTGGTGGCGCTATAGTAATTAGAGTCAGCCCGTTTCTAATTTCAAAACAAAGAAGAAACGTAAACAGCAAAAGTGCAAAAGTGAAAAAGTGAAAAAAGTGAAAAGGAAACCCTTGAGGAAATTTGGGGCTTACAAAAGAGGACAAGGGCACAAAGAAGTTGAGTACTGTCACTAAGGTCCTAAATTTTTTACACCTACTCCCGGAAGGTCAAAAATTGGGAGGCAATGTTTACACTTAAGTTTACAATAAATAGAGTGCTGCCACATATCACCCATGATGGTAGATATTTTATTAGTTGAAAGTTGATGTGAATCTCTTCAGATGAGATTGAGTGGTTATTTCCACAATGGCAACAAAATCGTTCTCTTGTTGCGAGCTTCCAAGAGGATAATTGCAACACCAACAAATTAATCAGTTTGTTGCAGATATCACGCTGCCGTTGGTTTTTCAGGATGCTGCCGTTAGTTTTTCAGGATGCTACCGCAGATCTCCATTATGCTGCCAAGGTGTTATAAATACCTAATGATAAGAACAAGCAAAGGATCGACATCTCACACAACAAACTCAGCACAATTTCTCTTTATGCTCAAAAGCATGTTAGTTTCAAGCCTTTTAGTTTAGTTTTAACTCTACACTTCAGCTTAGATTAGTTTAGCAATTCAGTTCTCCTTTTGTCATATTTGTAATGGTGAGTTTCATTGCATTTAGTAGTATTTCTTTGTGATTGGATTGCTTCCTTTCCTTTTCTATTTTTCAAGTTTCCTTTAATTAAATCAAATGATGTCGACATTTAATTTCATGTTCAATTCCATTTCTGTTAATTTATATTTCATGCTGCCAGTAAATTTTCCTTGTTTCCAGTTTTATTTACTTTAACTTAATTTACTTTTGTTGTAATTAAATTTCCTTTTAAAGCTCTGTTTCAATCCAGTTTGCGTATTTAAAGTTCATTTAGATTTTCAGTAGTTTAGCGATCATTTATTTTCCTTGCAATCTTAACTTTTCTTGATTACATTAGCTTTGAGGAGTACTTAGAATCATATCCAGGGCATTTTGTCGTATAACCCATTTAGTGCAGGAAGTTCATCCCTCATTTCTGCCAATCATCTGATCTTTAAGGCGCAATTTATGACGTTCTTCCATTAACTCATAAGCTGAGTTCCACGCTTGGAAAGAAGAGAGGGTCGTCGGAGAAATCTTTCTTGTTTTGAGTAAAGCAAGTGGCACACCATTTCATCTGCCACGTGTCAAGGAGATTTTTTGGGATAATAGATTGTAAAATAGAAAACATTAAATAGGGAAGGTCTCTAATATAAGGGGTCCAACCCCAATCCTATAGCATTGTTTGGTTAATATTGTGCAATCTTTAGAGTTTGAAATATGCAAC